TGAATACACCCAACAATCACACATAGCTTGAGCTATTTTTAGTGACATTCTTTTATCATTACACCTTCAAATATACACAAAAAATGACTTTCACGCTTGTCATGGGGGCGTTGGGCTTACATCATTCCTTCTGGACATGGTGTAGCAGCTGGAAACTACATAACTGGAAAAACATTTACAAGGCTTAAAAAAACACAGTGTTCTAAATGTGGGGAGTAAATGAGGTAAAAATAGCTCTGTGAGGAATGAGGTCAGATTGGACCCAATAAGTTAGGGGAGGCAAAAGAACGGAGGTAGGTACAGAGAAAGAACCACATATGAGCATGTTGAAAAGTCCAAAGATCAAGAGTCAAGGAAGATGTAGAGAAAAAAGATCTGAGAGTCACTAATTTTAAAAGAGTCCCAATCAAAAATATAAGCTGCAAGAAAGAGAATAAAGAGAGTGGTGGATCAGGACTGAGAGAGGCTATTAAAAAAGGTGAAATAAGGACAGAAAGATTAAGAAAAGTTATGGAAAAATATGAACAACAAGTGTCTTTTTAGATATGTATTACTATACAGAACAAATATGGTTTTGCAAGTCTTGACAGATGTGTGGTTAAAGTGGGCTATTAATTTTTGTGCTGCAGTCTAGCATTGCTTCCAGCAGATGTCATGGAGATACTCTCTCAAAAAAATCACAATATGTAACCTTGTAATCGTGCCAGCATGCTCATAACGCAACACACATCCTTTTTTCATGCTCACGCCTGTTAAGCACTCAAGCAAATGTCAGTAAAGGTAAGTCTTGGTTCTTCAGTAAATGGAATATCCCCAAACGGCTCACATATCACCAAATACACAAACTGCATTTTTGGCACCTGTCAGGTAGAAAATAAAGCATAGCTACATATATATGTGGTGAAAATTCTAGTTAATTCAATTCAATTCAATTCAATTTTGTTTATATAGCGCCAAATCACAACAAAAGTCGCCTCAAGGCGCTTCATGATACAGAGAAAAACCCAACAATCAATCAATAGTTAGTTACAACTGCATTATTGAAAATGGAAGAGGAGATGGAAGAGGTCCTGGGTTCAAATCCTGGATAAACCCCCAAGTTTGCTGGCTTGAGGGACCTGACACATTAATCAGACAGACGCCACTGGGGTCAGAGCTAAAACAGCCTGTTCTTAAATTCATAAACGAGACAGACCAGGAGGTCGCTGTTGCATTGATAAACCCCGTCTACCAGGAACCTGCAAGACAACACAGGGAGATAAACAGGGCAAAACAACAGGGACTGTCCAATGCACAAGGCCATGACAAGACAATGGAATGCGAGATAAGGACTTCCTCAGCAAGTGATGTTTGATAAACTTTTGGATGCTTAATAATTCTGGGTCAGTCTAAGCAGGCATCCCTCTCCCCACCCAGCTCCTCCAGCTCCTCTCTTCCAGGGTTTCCCTGCCTTGGACATTTCCAAAAGACCTTCTCTAGGAGATACGCCAGAGGCATCCTATTCAGATGCCCAAACCACCTCAACCTCAGAGAGAGAAGACACGGAATAAAGAGCTACAGGTTGGACTTGAGCCTGGGGCAC